ATTTAGCCAAGGCTTTTTTGTAAGGTGAGATAATTTAGTCACAGAACTCAGCGGGTGGTGAAGCTGGGATTTGAACCCAGGCCAGCCAGATCACAGGATGCAGACTCTGACTATGGCCTTTCGTTTCTGTTAAGAGGACTTGCCACCCAGATAGACTGCTTGCTGGACCCTGGTCTAGGGTCCCATGACATCATCTGAGGTCACCTCCCTTCTCCAATCTCAGGCCCTAGGACTGTCACGAGGGGTCAGGGATACGACCGGCCTTCAGAGCCACAGATAACCCCATACACACAGCCCGTAGAGCCTAGCTGCCAGCCTGCACAGGCTATGCTGTCGGGAAGACCTGAGTCCAACTATGGCTCCGGGGCATATACTGGCTGTGTGACCCAAGGCAAGCTTTGTAACCTCTCTGAGCTGCTGCCTCTGCCCCTGAAGAGTGGGGATGGCAATGGGGCCTACCTTGTGGAGCACGCCAGACACAAGGAACAGCAAGGACAAGGAGGTGGGAGTGGGAGCCTGGGGGACATGTCTGGGGACTAAATAGCAATGTCTCTAGAACACAGGATATGGGGGTGGGAAGGCAGAAGATAAAGTTGGAGAGCTTTATGTTGGGGCAGTCTACTGAGCACTTACTAGGCATGAGGGCTGGAGACACAAAGGCCCAGGGCGGGGATTTTTGTCCATTTTGTTCTCTGCTGTATCTCTAGTACCCAACAGTGGCTGGGAAACAGTAGGCCTCCATTGCTGACTGATGAATGAATGAGTGAATGAATGAATGAATGAAACCAGTGAGTGAGTCAATGAGTCATTAAACTAATGAGTGAATGAGTGAGTCAACAAATGAATGAGTCAATGAATGAATGAGTGTATGAATTAATGACTGACTGACTGGATTAATGAGTGAGTGAATTCATGAATATGCATTCTGACAGTCTCAGTCGAGTAGCTGGGGGTTGGGGAAATGGATATAAAGAAGAAACTACTGTTCCCTGGTGGGTAAGAAATCTTACAGGCTTTATAAAGGGGCTAATGCTGAGGTCAAGTCTTAGTATCTGAGCAGGGCAGATAGGGATGGAGGGCATTCCAGGCAGAAGGCACTGCACAGGCAAAGGTCTGGTGGGCTGCTGATTGTCTAGAGCTGGGAATTACTGGGGTGCAGGATGGAAGTGGTATAGAGAAGAAAGGTGGGTGGAAAGTTAGGGACCAGCCCCATGGGTATGGGAAAAAGCTTTTGATTGCTTATGCAATGAGGAGTCAGAGAAGGTTTTAGCAGGAACACAGTGGGATCAGATATGACCATGTCTGGCTACAGGGTTTCCCCCAGTCAAAAGCCTGTACCCCTTCACTGCCTTCCAGAGCAGGCCTATATCTCAAACACCCCTACACAAAGGCCAACTCTTTCATTACTTATAAAAATATTCCACAAGTATTTACCAAGTACCCTCCATGGCACTGAAATAATAGCTGATACGGAATTAGCACTTACCTCTTCCAGTCCTGGGGTCAGGCTTAGGTATGTATGATCTCATTTAATTCTCCTACTAGCTCTGTGAGGTAAGTACTATTTTATGAATGAGGAAACTGGGTTCAGAGAGGTTTAGAGAATGGCCCAAGGTCACATAGCTACTTAGAAGTAAATCCAGGACTTGAACTGAAGCAGTCTGGCTCCAGAGCCCCTGTTCTTGTCACTATTTTAAACTGCCTAAGGCATGGACCCTACTTTCTGCCATCAAGTTGAGAAAGAAAAACACCACATTCAAGGCATACACTCAAAGAAAGGCTGCCTTTGCCAAA